AACTGGTCTTAAGTAGATCTGCCTGGATTAATGAGGTTGCCTTGGAGTCATCACAAGTGATCTTAATACTGATAGGAGGAGGCAGAGGAGAGTTAACTAGAGAAATGTCAGCATAAGTATAACTCAGCCAGTGCTGCCGGCTTTGCAGATGGAGAAAAGGATCTTGATTAAAATAGTAATAATATTTTTTTTAAAAAAATCACTTACAGAAGTTAGAGAACACAAGAAAGCTCATCCTCCCCTAGAAGCTCCAGAAGGAAAACAGTGTCTAACCTGTGAAACTGTAAGACAGTACCTCTGATTTTATTTTTAATTTTGAACCACTAAGTTTGTGGTATTTTGTTACAGCAGCAATAGGAAACTCATTCATCTTGCCGTTCTAACTCCTCCAGCCTCTCACTAACCCTCCTCGGCCACTGGTTGAGTCTCAGCTGCCCTCCTCTTTGCATCCATCAAAAAATCTCCTGGTGACATTTCAGCAGTTTATCTACTTACTTCTCATATGGCCTGTCACCTGGTGAGACCCCACCCTGGGGAGGAACCCTTATTGTATTCGTTCTCCATGTTCAAATGATCACATCCTTATTCTTGCCATAATAGCTCTCCCAACTTCTAATTCCTTTTGCTCCCCAATCCTGTCTTTACCCCATTACATTTTAGCAGATGACCTTACCCCTGCTGTCGTCCCTCTCAGGGGTTTCCTCCACTTTCAGCAGATCTGTGTGACCTCCAGTTATCTGTTCCCAGATTTCCACCTCTCAGCCTCTGTGCAGCATTTGACAGTGTAGAGAACACCTCCCTTCCCTTCCTCCCTTCACCCATGGCCTATGTGATACTGTACTCACTCTCCCATCCCAAAAATTGCTTTTCTCTTTTATTAGTTTCACTTTTTAAAATATATATTTTACTTTAGTTGTAGATGGACACAATAACTTTCTTTTATTTATGTGTATGTGGTGCTGAGGATCGAACCCAGTTCCTCACATGTGCTAGGCCAGTGCTCTACTGCTGAGCCACAACCTAGCCCCAGTTTCACTTCTTTTTATTCACCAAATCTAAGCTTTCTTTAGATGCTATTCTCAAGCCTCAGACCTTCTCCAAAAAATGTATTCTCTTTGTAGTCATAGTATCATCCGAGACTTCACAGGTCACCACTGCAAATGATCCCTCCTGAACCTGTCTCTGTGCCCCTGCCCCAGAGGCACTTCTGGATCTCCTTCCTTTAGCCCCACTACCCAGAGAGAAAAAGTTTCCTTTCAGTAAACTTTTATCTGACATCTTCTCAAATGCAGGAGCCAACAGCCTCATGTTCTGGACATTCCGGGCTCTCTTACAGGGTGGGAAGGGAAGTGGCAGGACACCAAGGCCCACATGGTTTGAGGTCAAGGCAGAGAGCCTGTTCCTACTCCCCACTCCAGTTCCCACCTCTAGGATGTATGCAGAAAAAGACAGGCTAGGCTGAAGGGCCTGTGTTTTGTTCCTCGAGGGTTTTCGTCAATTTTGTCACAAGTACTTCCTTATTAGAAATACTGAGGGCAAAACCAGCTTTGAGGACTTCATTTCACAGGTGGGGCAGGTGAGAGGTTTAGTTGCTTTACTCAGAATAATCCCTAAGGAGCATCTGGCCAGCTTTCCCCTCAGGCAGTAGATACTTTGACATCATTTGATTCAGAATTCCTGAAAGCAAGGGAAAGTGTCAGAATTTAGTAAGTATAAAGGGCTATGAGGAAGCTGAGGCTAGAAGTGCAGGTGTCAGGGTCACTGGGGGACAATTGTGTCCATGTCTTCGGTCCTCACCTAACTAAAACACTGGAGTTGAAGCCCCATCTTGAAGCACAGCAAAGCAGTCGTTCCTGTGACGGTTCATGCCTCATCCTTGGTAAGACACACAGGGTTGCCTTCATCGAGACACATAGTTGGATATCTTTATAACTCACTGCAAAAAAAAAAGCAATATAAACCTTACCTTGTGTTATAATAACATGTAGAAAATTAAATTTAATCTTTAGATTTGCCAATTACTCCTGTTTTTTTCTTTTGAGCCAACTGTAAAACATAGTGTTTGGTTTGTGGCTTTGACAGGTGCATATGATTTGTCCAGTGTGACATTATTTCAGTGACAAGTATTAACCTGCAATCAAACATGTCAGGCTCATTGACTGTATTGGAAAGTTCATTCAACCATGTATGTCAAGGCTCAAGACATTCAAAAATGGGTGTATCACAGTCTATACACCTCAAGGATTTCAGAATCTTAGACTCAATAGGGACATTTGTTTGTTTGTTTTGTTATTTGTAATGTTGTGTTTTTGAAATTCTTCTCTTCCTATCCACCTGTGCCAGTGGAAGGTAATTAATTTTTGTACTATTTCGAGTGCACATATTTAAGTTCATCCTGAAAAGTTCAACTAGCACACATTTTTTAAAATATTCTTTAGTTGTCAATTGGCCTTTATTTCATTTATTTATATGTGGTGCTGAGAATCGAACCCAGTGCCTCACACATGCTAGGCAAGGGCTCTACCACTGAGCCAAACCCCAACCCCCTAGCACACATTTTTATTTTGCAGCTGGGCATAGGTAAATGCTCCTGAATTGGTAGCTTGTGAGAGTGCTCCCCACTGGGACCAGAGATAGCTATATGCAGCTTATGGAAAGGCATGGACCAGGAGCTGCCGCAGATAAGAAGGAAGCCTAGCTTGGGATCTAGAAATAGGAAGCACCTACCAAAGAATATAAAAAGCTTGTTCTGACGGCAGGAGGACGTCAGGTGACAGCTGTTTATGATGTTGTGAGAAGGACAGAGTGTGCCACAGAGAAAATGGGGATATGATGTGAAAAGGAATGAATTGGTGAACTGCGAAAGGAAGCTTTGGAAGAATTCATCTTGGAATCTTAGCCTGGGGTATCCACCTTCTGATTCTGTAGAAGGAGATAAAGGAAGAGTGTTGTTAACATTATATTGTTTACCTGTCAGGAACAAGGCAACCCAGTTTTTTACATTTTCATAAGATTTATAAAATATTGTAATTGGGTTTTTTGAAGTGAGGCTGTGTAGAATCTTCTTTTCTAGAGATATAGAAGCCACAATCCTGAGTCCCATCTTCCTGAAGCAATTTAGATATGGCCACTTAAAAGAAGGGAGTTTTTTTTTTTTTTAAATTAGTCTAGAGGAATTATCAGGGTCTCTGGTTCTCTGAATGGATCTGATTTGAATGTATAAATGACTCGAACAGGATTCTTATGGCAGCATCTTTATTTTTTTTTCTCTTGGCTTATAATTTTAAACAGTATAAAGGAGATAGTTAAAAGCCAGGTAAATCCTATGTGAATGAACTGTTCTCCAGATTCTTTGTTACCTTCAGTTCTCACCCAGTAGCCCTATATTTATTATATAGATGAAATGGTATTTTGTGTGTGTGTGTGTTTGTGGGACCTCAGATGTAGTGGCTGAGTTAATTCCACTTCTCATCACGGCTCAGGGCTGGGCTCCTTTTTACTTCTTTATTCATTTCCCCTTTATCCTCATTTCCCCTCCCTACTCCATGTCATTCTGTTATGATCAGTGTGACAGGCTTTTATTTTTACATATCCTTGGAAAATGTTTGTGGTTGTTTTACATCCATCTGTTTTAGATGTACATAAATAATACTGTTTTATACCCACCATTCTGTTTCTCTTGATGTAAACTTGCTGCTATGTGTACGCCTGGCTTGTTGTTTCTAATTATTGACTGGAATCCCAGATCATAGCTATAAATTTTACTTACACTGCCCCCAGCCCTGCAGTTTCCCACTGCCTCAGAAGACATTGGGATGAAACAGATCATTATGGCACGTATAAAATGAATTGCTCGTGGAAAGGATGTGTATCTGTTGGGATAGGCTACTCGAAGGCAGACTGTGTATGCTTAATTTGCTGGAATGACTGAAACAATTTACATTCTTAGTAGCAGTTCATGTTTCTGCCAGCATAAGAATATCCAGCTTTCTGATTTTTTTCAGCCTAATAAGTAGAAAATGATACCTGGTTTTAATTTGCATTCTGCTCATATGCAAGTTGGAGCATCTTTTCTTGGTTAATTCAGTTTTACCTTCTTGCTGTCCTTAAATTTTTTATCCATGGCAATATCTGTATGTTTTATGATATCTGGATTAATGTACTGAGATGTATTTAACCGTAACAATTAATTTAAGTCATATGCAGTTGCTAGTGGTTAACCATTTTTAAAAACAGCAAAATCTATGATCCAACTTAATGTTGTTAGATGTGTAGGTCTTTCTAAATTTTTATCTTTATAAATATTTTTAATAACCATATACTTGACATACACTGTGCTTTTTCTTTTGACTCTGTCTTTAGGATGATTTTTAAAAATTATTTATTTATTTTTTGTTCTGGGAATTGAACCACCCAAGGCACTTTGCCACTGAGCTACATTCCCAGCCCTTTTTATGTTTCATTCTGAGACAGGATCTTGCTGAGTTACTGAGGCTGGCCTCAAACTTACAACCTTACTCAGTCTCACAAGTTACTGAGATTGTAGGCATGTGTCACAATGCCCAGCCGTTGGGATATATTAAGGAAGGACTATGGGTTGAGAGAAGAAACATTTTTATAACTGTGGCTACATATTGCCAAATCACTTTCTAAAAGGACTGAACTGATTTATGCACTATTTATATAGTGATTATACTGGTTTTGCTCTAAGTTCGACATTGTTATTCATTACTATTTAGACTATTATTATTGTAAAGCATGACCTTCTTGTTTATATTTGTATTATTTAAACATATTTAATATTAATCATTTATTCAGGAGTTCCAGTGATGAATAATATGCTTCTGGAGTGTGGTCTTTTTTGCCCTTAGTCCATTTTTCTATTAGTATCATTTTTGGGGTTTTATTCAATTTAACAGTAGATTTTCATACAATGTAGATTTAGTCCATCTTCAATCCTGACAATGAAATTTTTCATTTACATATAATTTGTTCTTTAGATGACAATCAAAATAAAACACATGATAAAAAAGAGAAGAAGATGGTGGTTCAGAAGCCCCACGGCACCATGGAATACACTGTAAGTATAAACAGGGGAATATGAATGTTTCTTTTTTTTTAATTCTAATTTATTGTATATGACAGCAGAATGCATTATAATTCATATTACACATATGGAGCACAATTTTTCATATCTCTGGTTGTATGGAAAATGTATTCACACCATTCATGTCTTCATACATGTACTTAGAGTAATGATGCCCATCTCATTCAACCATCTTTCCTACCCTCTTGCCCCCTCCCTTCCTCTCCCACCCCTTTGCCCTATCTAGAGTTCATCTAACCTTCCCGTGCTCCCCCTCCCAACTCCACTATGAATCAGCCTCCTTATATCAAAGAAAACATTTGGCATTTGGTTTTTTGGAATTGGCTAACTTCTCTTAGCATTATCTTCTCTAACTCTATTCATTTACCTGCAAATGCCATGATTTTATTCTCTTTTTGCTGAGTAATATTTCATTGTGTATATATACTACATTTTTTTTTATCCATTCATCTACTGAAGGGCATCTAGGTTGGTTCCACAGTTTAGCTATTGTGAATTGTGCTTCAGTATACATTGATGTGACTGTGACCCTGCAGTATGGTATTTTTAAGTCCTTTGCGTATAATCCAAGAACTGAGATAACTGGGTCAAAAGGTGGTTCCATTCCCAGTTTTTCAAGGAATATCCATAGTGCTTTCAATATTGGCTGCACCATTTTGCAGTCCTACCAGCAATGTATGAGTGTACCTTTTTCCCCACATCCTCGCCAACACTTAGTTATTTGTCTTCATAATAGTTGCCATTCTGACTGGAGTGAGATGAAATCTTAGAGTAGTTTTGATTTGCATTTCTCTCATTGTTAGAGAGGTTGAACATTTTTTCATATATTTGTTGATTGATTGTATATCACCTTCTGAGAAGTGTCTATGAATGTTTCTTAATACTATTAGATTTACATGTTTCTCTCTGAAGATTTCTATCTTGCCCCTTAGCTATATTCTTCTTGTATACCCGTAAAATAATGAAGCTTCTTAGGACCTATTTTAGTTCATTTCTTTTCCCTCCATATTTTCTCCTTGAGAAAATTTATGTAAACCAATGATTTGGGGGTAGATGGTGGCCAGTATTGCTTAGGCTGATCTGGCTGCTAGTCAGGTGTCCCCTTCCCTCCCCATTCCAAGTTACCTACCTGAAAGTGGGTTAATGAAGACAACATTTCCCAATAGAAGAAGACTACTTTCACCCTTAAAGGCATACTTGTAGCTGTGTCCTCTGCTAGAACCGCCAAACTGATGACTTGAATTATCTGTAAATATGACAATGCCTACCAAGTGTAGGTCTCTATTCTAGGCACCCTTTATGAGAGCCAAAGCATATATGCAGTTGCCCACTCAAAATACTCACTTATTCTTCCATGCTTGGTCCTTTTTCCAGAAGCAATGGCTCTATGGTGCATATATTTGTACAAGCCAGACCCTTATCCTTGATATTTTGTTCCCCTAACTCTCTCTATTTATTCCTCCCTCCTGTGGCCATCCAGCAATCTAGGCCAGATCCCTTCATTTAATTCTCTCATAGAATCACATTCTTTACATAAATTATGCCACTTTAACATTATTTCTAACTGTGATTGTTATTTTAATGTCTATTTCATGCTTTAATTCTTATATCTATGAAGTGAGACTAGACCCCTTTTTGTATGATATTCTTGGCACCTTGCAGGGTGTAGGCTCCCATATTGTTGAATCAATAGGTGAATGATGTGAGGCATGTATCCGTTACCACAGCCCCACACTTAGTGTGATGTACTCAGCTCTCACTGCACCATGAGCTCCTGGAAACCAGGAGCTGAATCTTATTAATCCAAGGCTTGGTGTGAAGGGGTTACTCAGTGATAGGTCTATTTTAATTCATTATGAACTAGCACTGTTGAACATTATTACATTATTTGTCATTGAGAACATTAATTCTAAATCCATAGTCCTTAAGACCTGTGTGTATCCAACAATTGATTCACAAGCCTATCCAAAGAACTAAGAAGTACTATTTATTAGGAGTTGCTCTATGTAGTGTATACTAAACAATAAAATAAAAGTAAAAGTCAACCTCCAAATTAGTTAACAAATATAAACAAATGATCAAATTAGTAATGCAGATATGCATTATGTATGTTATGGAGATTAATTTTAGCAAGTTATTTTTATCCTTGTCATTGGAAATAAAAGATGACTTTATGCTAGCATTTACTGAATTGTTTATATTGATACCGAGAAGTGGATGTTCAAGCATTTTGGTTTAGTTTTAAGCATCCCTATCAGTGTCTTTGTGGTCTAATTCTATATGCACATTTAATCTTTATGTGATAGTTGCAGATAACTAAAGATTTTCTCTTTCCTTGAACCCTCTGCATACAGGATCTTTTACAGGTTTTACTCATAAAAATATGAAACAATTGTATTGATCACTTATCATGAAGCTGGTGCTATAAAGCAGATATTATGATTATCTCTATTTGATGGATTGAGAAGCAGACACAGAGTGGTCCAAAAGTTGTACAACCAGCAAATTACTGATCTAAAACTCAAATCCAGCCATCTGATTCTAGAGTCAGCATTTGCAATCTGTATCTTGTACCTGCTCTAAACCTTGAAAACCTCTGTGCTGAGTATATTAGATCAATATCCAATATTGGGAAAATATTTTTAAAACTATTTTTACTTTAGTTTTAGTAGAGATTATTATGCCCAGGGTTAATGTAGGGCATGTTGCTTAGATTTTCAGTTTTTCACACCAAAAATTAAAAACTTATTGAAAAGATTTGACACAGTTTTCAGCGTGATTTATAACTATTACCTTTTATTAGTCTGAGACGGTCCGTTGTGTTGGTCGTTTTGATTCTGAGGGCAATGGAGTTTAATTTGAATTTTGCATCTTTACCTTCTTGCCAGTCCATACTCTCCTTAGACACCTCAAATTTGCCCATAATTTAAAACCCACCTGATAGATTCAGTGTTGCTTAGAGATTGCCACCCATCTTAACCCTGGGCTATCAATGGGAACTATTCAGTGACAGTCATAAAATTCACCTCCCACAAATTCATCTTGTGACTCTGGATGGGGAGGCCATTCCTGGAGACTGACATGACTGCAGAAAACCAATTTTTTTTTTGAGTGGTGCATTTTTTACTATGTTGTTTCTTGTCTTTTCACTACTCTCTCTTACTATTCCTCCTCTGTTATGAAAGGCATGAAAAGTGTACACCTGGAACATAGGTCACAAGTTTCATAGACTGAAAGACTAACACTAATTTCGTTGACCATGGAAAATTGTCCTTTTAATGATAGTGAAAAACTCTTGGTATCTTTTCAGTGTTTCTTGCCATCTTTAGTACTCATTTATCAATAGAGTGCCGTCTGTGTGTCTCAGGCACTGTGCTGAACATGGGGTCAACAGCCATTAGCAAGTTACTGGTAGTACAATGGAGAGACAAGTAAATGGACAGAAAACCACAAGAGAAAGTAGCCCCACTTCCGCTATGGGTGGATATTACATATGTGTTTTTTTTTTTCTTTTCTCCTTACATAAGTTGAATTTCCTACATATTAGATCTCATTATGCCAATGTAAAATTAGACGTCTATTAGTAGACAGTGAAATCTGGAGGAAAGAGAGTTCAGAAATGAATTGTACTTAAGATTGCTTTTGCATGGTTTTAGTAAGAATTGAGAATATAGTCACTGTTTATCTAGTACCTCTGGATAGAACTTTTGCTTGTTTATTTACTCATATCATGAACAGATTTAATACTGTTTATCACAGGATTTTTTTTTTTTTTTTTTGGTTTATATATTGAATCTTGTTTGTTTGGTTATTTTAGGCTGGAAGCCAGGACACCTTAAACTCCATAGCACTGAAGTTTAACATCACTCCCAATAAATTAGTGGAACTGAATAAACTTTTCACACATACTATTGTTCCAGGCCAGGTAATTACTTTCCTGTTGAGTATCACTTCAGAAATTTTGCATTTATCTTTTATTGCAATATTTAATGCTTTACTGTTAGTGTCAGTCTATTATTATCAATGATAATGTACATTTCAATCTTTCATCTTCCTTAGATACAAGAATTCTGAAAACATCCTAATACTTATGAACTGTTCAGAAGCTAATACTTTGAAAATGATCGGCACACTTATCACTATCATTAATTAAGTTCATCAGGAGAAGTTCTAAATTCATGTAACTTTTTTCCCTCTTAAATATTAGATAGCTATCCTTAATTCAGAATTTCAATTTAGTGAATTTCAATTTATTCACCTTCTTTGAGGTACATTGTAGCTGTTGTTTTATTTTCAGTAAGACAACATTTTTTGTCATCTTTTTCTCAATTTGATACCATAACAAGAATGGTCAATGCAACTAAAGACAAAGACATTAGGCAGGATCATCAAAAATAAACCACACCAATTTTTCCCCAAGTTTTAGTAGTTTATTCATTAAACTGATTGAAATTGTAAATGCATGATCTTGTCACTTTAGGTTAATGCAGTAAATTTTTTATGGTGCCTTCTACATGATAAGATATCCTGGTATTTGTACTCTAAAATTACAGTCAGCCAGTAGATTCAAATGACTTAGTCATTGAAAGCACTTAACTAAGGTCAAGTATCCAGTCTCATTCATAAGAACCCACATTTGGGTTCCAATGCTGACTTTTTAGAGCATCTTGTATATCTTTACATCAGAGTGACATTTAATTCTTTCAAGGTAAATAATATTACTTATAAGTTAAACATCATTCAGGCAGTGTCCTTCAAGGACAGCACATGAAACCAGCAGACTACAATTTGGCTAGTTAGTGTTTGAGGTATTTATATTCTTATGAAAAGGAGAAATTAGTATACTGCCAGTACCAGTAATTGGAGGATGGGGAATCTATCTGCATTAAAACTTTTAAGAAAGTTATAAATTTTCATCTTGAGGAAAATAGATACTAATCTCTTCATTCTTGGGTTTATTTTGTAATCTGTGGTATTGCTACATAATGTATAGCTGACCCATAGCAGAGAATCTAGGCATGTATTTACCAGTCCAAGACCAAAGATTATAGCTCCCAGAACTTAGTAAAGTAATTTAGGGTGATTCTTTATACTATATCCATAAACAAAATAATCGATTCATACTAAATGAAGTTCCAGTAGCAAAATAATTGATTGGTACTAAATGAAGCTCCAGTAGCCAATAGGAATTCAAGGACTGTTTTAATCTGCCTATAACTGGTAAAAATATCAGAAATAGGATCCCCAAAGCTTTGTTTCCATTTGGCCTTATATTGGCAAGTCACTTCCCTTTTTGGATCTCAGTCTCCTAATCTCTGAAGTTAGGTATTGGACCACTAATCTCAGATACCATTTTTTAAAATTATTTATTTTTTTTAGTTGTAGTTGGACACAATAACTCTAATTAGTTTTTATTTTTATGTTGTGCTGAGGATCGAACCCAGTGCCTCATACATTCTAGGTGAGCACTCTACCACTGAGCTACAACCCCAGCCCTTCAAAACCCTTTTTAGTCTTTACTGTAGTGGCCAGTCCTTATAGAACTAAACAGTTATGTGCTATTAGTTGTCCTGAGTCTTATCTCATAACTTTTTTTTTTCCTGACAAAGATAAGGAATTGAGGAAAAGTTAGAAAGATTGAGGAACTTTAACACTGTAGATGGACTTTTGCTTTCAAGGATTTTAAAATATTCTATCTTGGTGCCTGGAGGGGTAGGCACCTCTCACCTCAGTAGATCTTATAAATCAAAACCAGTTTTATCTGTTCTGGTTACAGAAAATTTGAGACTTTCCCTTCTAAACACTAATTTGATGATCACCTTGAGATAGGAAGAAACTAGTCTAACTAGGTCAGTGACCATGACCTCAAAGGAGGTTACCTGGAACTAAAATCTTACTCTAGAATTTTTGTGGCTTTCATGACAAAAAAAACAGATGAGACAAACTTAAAAACAAAATCTGAGACATAAAATATTTTGCAAAATATTCTTAAGTTTATTCTGATACTTATATCAAATTTGAGGACATGTATAAAGAATGTACTTTACCAAGTAGTTTATCTTGAGAACACTCAAAATTTACCCTATGGATATCATTTTAAGATGTTTTTACATTCACAGGACACCTTGGCTGCACATACTTAAAATTTTTTTCCAGGTTAAAATGGCAGCTTTACTTTATGGTAATGGACTTTAGGACCTCGAGTCCCCATAGGCCTATGTGTTGGAGCAAACAGTTATTTTCTGGAGGCAGTAGGAAAACCTCACCTCTGTCTGTGATCCAGGCCCACTTTCATGTTGAGATAGCATGTGCTCTGGGTAAGCTTCCCAGCTTTCACACGACACCTCTATATACAGTGCTGTTAGCTGTTCAGGCTGGGCCTTATCCCATTGAGAATGTGTCAGACAACAGAATCTCAATATATGTTACCTGATACTTTTCAAGCATTCAGGTGCAAAATAATAAACATTTTAGTATTAATAGAGAATTGCTTAAGAAAAATCCCATCCATTCATCCTCTAGTTTTGCTATAAAAGATAAATAAGAAATTGTATACTAAGATCACATATGTTTAGTTCTTTGTCAACCACTTTCAAGAACTCTGAACTTTGTCATTTGACATTGACCTCTATATGGAAGGTGTTATAAAGAACAGCCCTCTGGTACTGGTCATTGTGTTTCCTGTTAGTGGATGAGTAGAGTATTAAGTACAAATAGTTCAATGTAGAATATTCTTTTATTAATGAGACTGAATGGGAGAATACTTGTACTTCTAAAAAACTGTTTTTGGGTTTTTTTTTTTATCTTATGGAAATTGAATTCTGCTAATTCCTGATGCCTTCCTCTGCATTGATTGTATAGAAATTCACAAGCTGGTTTTATTGCCCACATATCAATGAATGTTCAGTAATTCTGAAGCATACATTTTCATAGTAATCAATCTTCATCTTACATCACCTTGATTTAAATATTCTGACCTTTATATTAATGTGTTTTTTGTTCTGGCCTCAAATTATTCTGGATTGAAGTGAGATTTGAATAACTAAAGTTAAAATGATTGGAAGAATGGGAGTCACTAAATAACAGTATTGATCTGAGATCAATTGTTACAAGATTAGCTCTGAACTCTGTTTTATAACATTGAAGGTCACCATTTTAAGATTATATTTGATATATGCTGAAAAGATGACAGGATTATAGTAGCATTTCATAAACTAAACTATTTTACAGGAGATGGGTATTTCATACTACTTGTTGTGATATTTTAATTTTTATATAACCCAGGCACCAATGGAAGAGAAAGTGTTGAGATTATGGATTAGTTTGTACAGTTTATCATATAAGGACCTCACCACTTTACCACTCAGTCCTGCTTGGAGTCATCTAGCCTGGACTTGTTCCATTTCTACCTGTCACGGGTGTTCTTTTTAGAAACATGCCATGCTTCTCTCTCCTCTATTCCCTTATACTACAGGTTGAACAGCCCTAATCCAAATACCAAAATCCAGAATGCTTCAAAGTCAGAAACTGTTCGAGTACATTTGAAACATTTTGGATTTCAGATTAGGGATTCCTAACAGGTAAAGTCTATACAAATATTCCAAAATATGGGGGAAAAAAAACAACCTGAATCAGAAACACTTGTGACCCCAAGCATTTCAAGTGAAGGATGCCCAACCTATATTAGTTCCCTTCCTGGAAGGCTTTCCCCTCCCTTCCATCTAATCCCTGCTTGTTGGAGACCTCACTTGCTTCACATGGCTTGCTTGGAAAACCTTACTCCACCCTTTTTTATCTCCTGCAGTACCTACTATATGCCTTTGGCACCGTACATATTCTTATTGCTAAGTATCATATATGGATCTGTCTAGAAGACCCCATGTTATTTATGAGATCCATGAAAGCTACCCAGGTATTTGTCATGTACTGAGCATACTCCTATGCAGAGTGATGTCTCTAAATACTAGCTAGAGGTTTACAAGTTTTTGGTGTTTACTCAGTTCTTTTTTCTCATTCTCAGGTCCTTTTTGTGCCAGATGCCAACTTCCCTTCTAGTACTTTAAGGCTATCATCATCTAGTCCTGGTGCTACTGTCTCTCCTTCATCATCAGATGCAGAATATGATAAACTGCCTGTATGTATATGTCATACATTGAAGTTCATTTTTATCAGAAAGAATTTTTTGTGAGTCGTAGAATCCAATGTTATTTTTCACAAGATTATATTAGCTCAGAGAATGCATCTTCTCCAAGACAGATCAGTTCACATATAAGGTCTCAAAGGTAAAAGTGCATGCCTTATGTGAAAGTATAAAGTTAAACTCCCAACAAGGTAGACAGATTATTTATACTCCTTCTTTTTCTAGGGAATTTAAATCAGGAATCTATAAATTCTTCCATTCAGGTTATTTTTTAAGACACTTAATGAGCCAGTTTAGGGGTTCATATATTTTTAAAAATCTTCATTTTATTCAGATACCTATTGATATATTTGTGATATTTTTGAAAGACAATGAACATTTGCCTTTTTATGTTCAAGTTAAACAGAAACAGTTTACTTATAGGGGAACTTATGTGCTGTTTTATACATGTAATTTGTTTTAAAATGCTTTTATTTGATTTTGAAAATTTTTGCATTCATTAGGATGCTGACTTAGCAAGAAAGGCCTTAAAACCCATTGAAAGAGTCTTATCGTCTACTTCTGAAGAAGATGAGCCAGGAGTGGTGAAATTTCTAAAAATGAATTGTCGATACTTCACTGATGGAAAGGTATATGCCAGTGTTATTTATTTCTTTTTCTTGGAATCTATGGAAAATCAAACAAGGTTACAAATTACTGGAAAGAAGGGGAAATTAAAATATTTTATGCAAAGTTTAAGGTTAAGATTTGACAAATATATGTTTTCCTCTGTTGGGTGCCTGGCATTTTATTGAGGGAAATATGATCATTGAGTTAAAATGTGATTCCATGTGACCTTGAACTGATTTATCTTTCAGTTCTTGACCTATAAATTGCCAGGGAGACAGTATACTATATGTTTAACAGCAAACAGGGGCATCAGACTCACTGAATTTAAATTTCACTTCCACAATCCAGTAGCTCTGAGACCACAGGCAAGGTATTTAAAATTTCTAAGCTCCCATTTTTTTTTATCTATAAAATAGGAACAATAATAAAATTTAACCAACAGAATGTTGCACAATTAAAAGAGAGAATCCCTGTACAGAACTTATTACCTAATCTCAAAAATGAGAAGCTTTCAGCTTGTGTTTCTGCTGGAAATGCTAATGTTAAAAATACTGTCTGCTATGTCATGCTTTTGGTTTTTGGTTGTTGGTCTTTAACTAGCCTCTGAAGAAGGGGCTATGTTAATATCCTGTGCTCATAGGAGAGAACTTATATCAGGTTTCAAATAGTCAGAAAATATGTTATTAGTGTGCATTTGTAACTTTTACAAGTAAGAATGAATAAGGCCCAAAGTGTAAAAATTTTCATAAAGATAATTACTAGATACATTAAGAATATCAAAAAATTATTTACCTACAGGGAGTTACTTGTATCCCCTGTTCCTGGATACTGTCTCGCTAGCCAGTATGGTCTACTATAATGATATATGGCCAAGTGTCAGACTTAAGCTATTGCTTTTGGCTTTTAATTTCCATAACGCACACAGCTATTTTTATATTCCTATTTATGTTGAATTTTGCTGGATGTGGGCTTTCTAAACATTTTAGAGAAAAATATTGGTATTGTTTTTTGGCACCATGATCCTGATTCTCCTGCTGTAACACTGGACATACAGTAAAGACTTGCTGAGTGGATTGTAATACTCCATGTTCATGATCAGGAAAGCCCTTGGGACAACCCCTCTCATTTTTCAGACATGGAACTCTAGAATCTGAGACATGCATGTCTGAACGAGAATCACACCACATTTGTTCTGATGCAACTCTTCTAAAACCAGGCTCGGTTCATTGCCACAGTGAGGCAAGTCTGTTTTCTCTGCCTCCCCACCCAGCACCCAACATTGCATTTCTTTAGCCTGTTTGTCTAGAGGGGATGTGATTGTCACATGGGAAACTGTGGTCCACAGAGTCAATGGAGTGGCAGTGTGAGTTAATTAAAGTATCTGGAATGGTTGTGGGAAACATTTCTGCCCAAAGTAATTCTGTCTTTTTCTCCTACAGGGTGTGGTTGGAGGTGTCATGATTGTCACTCCTAACAACATCATGTTTGACCCTCATAAGTCTGATCCCCTGGTCATTGAAAATGGGTGTGAGGAGTACGGCCTCATCTGCCCCATGGAAGAAGTGGTTTCTATTGCCCTCTATAATGACATTTCCCACATGAAGATCAAAGATGCCTTGCCATCGTAAGAGCCATTTTTTTCCTTTCCAGAAAAAAAAAAAAAGGGAAGTGTTGAAAGAATTATGTACAATTCAGAAGGGAGTGCATTTGCAGAAGTGAGAGGGTTCAAAGAAGCAAGGGGTTGTGCCGAGGTGACTTCAAAGCTAGAAAATGTGTACACTACATAGAATAAAGAGAACTGGAAGTGATTAAGGTAATTATATAAGAAAATTGAACATAGAAGGGCTACAGGAGAAAAGCAAAAAGTCAACAATTGCTAATACCAGTAAAAATTATATTTGCTTGGCTTTTTCTGAAAAGCAATGCATGTTCTTAATAAATTTATTGAAGAAGAAATGAAATTGCTCTGAAAGAATTTTAGTTTGATTACCAGTAAGATAATAATGTTTTCTTCTGGGTTGGATTGCTAAGAGCTATGTTCATCATCAGTTAAGTTCTCAGACAGCTAGTCTTCCTAGCTCTTTTCTGCCCTGGATCCTGCATGAAGAAGGGTTTGAGTGGACAGGTTGAAGCCACCTGCACTGTGGCTAGACGGTCTTAGGTGGTGTGAAGAAAGAGGGATACTCTTGCTTTTTCTATGAAATGTAGATGAATATTATTTTAGTCCTGATTACTTTTGCCTTATAACACTGAGTTTATTATTTTTTAAAAATTAGAAAGAGGGGAAGCTCCCCATGAAGAAAGAAGACGGGTTAAGAAAGCCCAAAGAATTGATTACAGTAATAATCTGATTTCAACAGTCCTGTCTCCAATGTGTCTGTTTCTCTATAAATGTCAGCAATAAAAGTCTTTAGAAGGTAGAGGCCCTCAGCAGCAGGTCCTAACAGTACAAAGGGAATTAGTCCCTGAGATTCATAGGCAAAGAAGGGAGGTAACTAGGGAACTAACCTAGACATAAGGTCCCTAGGCGTTTATACCAGCTGTTTCCCTGAGACTCCTACAGTTCTTATCATCTGACCTTTTCAGCCCCTTTAAGCCTAAACCACTGAAGACTCTCTAAGAATGTGAACACTGAGGGAGTTTCTAAATTCTCTGGCCAGAAATATTCATTGAGGAATTTAGGAGGTGTAGCAGGTAAGGCAAACTGCATGATAAGTAAGCCTAGAACCACATTGGATTCCCCTGGCTCTGCTACTTATGGCTCTTCGACGTGCTCACATTAATCAGTCTCATGACTCAGTTTCCTCATCTGTAAATTGAAGCCAATAGTATTCTTCACTTATAGAACTAAATGCATTGAAATACCCAAACTCTTAGTAAATTACCTTGATAAGTGTGGAGTGTTATTACTGGAACTCGTAGTTTATATCTGAAACTCTGCTTATTCTTCCATGGGAATCTTGTTATCTATGCATAAGTATTGAGGCTTTCAGTGTGCCTTATTGTGCCAAGGATATGAAGACAAGTGGGTCAGGGCCCTAGAGGAGCCTGCATTCTACTGATGTCACAGACACATGGACAAGAATTAATGATTAAATGGCACTACATACAACTGTGCATGCAGCATTCCACAAGAAACCATGTGAGTGAATGTCCAGCTGCCTTGGAATCTTAGATGAGGAGGAAAGGAAGTGAAGGAGCTGGTTTTGGAAAGAAGGAGTGTATATTGGGCTCTTGGCAATAAGAGGAGATAAGAAAGAGGTAAAAATATAGTTTAGTTTGGAAGTTGATGGCCATCAAAAGAAACATTTCTTGCCAGATGAGGGCTCCTAATAGAGTAATACTATTGTTCTTCGGCCAAGGATATTAAATTCTGCTTAGTAATACAAAGGAAAGGTATATTTTTACAGAAAGATTTTCTTACTGTGAGATTATGCTTAATGATCTAGAATATAGAGATAATGCTGAGAGTGGGGGAAGAAAGGAAAGTCAGGAATTGGCTCCTAATTTGTTAAAGTTATATCAGGGTTGTCCATTAATTTCTGCCACAGATGCAGGTATATACAGAAGGTGTTTAGTCTAATGAGCAACATCTGCACAAATTAACAAAACAGAATATGTGCGTGCAATCAATATAAATGAGCTTTTTATTATCTTCAGAATTGCATCAATTATTTAAAAATTCAAAATTGCTTAAAATGTCATTTTTCCTACAAGTTTAACTGTAAAATGAGTACAAACTGTCTAGCTGCAGCATGTGATTTTGAGTGTATAAAGTCTTCCTAGTCTCACTTTCAGGTTTTATATTAATATTTTTGAGGTGTGGGGGGGCATTTTATAACTCCAGCTGCCACAGAGATGAGGAAGAGAACAACTGAAGGGATCATCGATCATCATTAGATGCCTGGCTGAGTCTAGAAAAACATTAATTAACAACTGAGCCAGTTGACACCATTGTACACTGTGCCCCAGCAGTGCTTGGCAGCTGCAGTGCAGAAAAAGCAGATGGTTAAATTAGTCCCAAGTAGGGAATTGGCAGTTTGGATTAGGTAGAAGAACAAGCAGAGGGGGTGGACAAGGTAATTTAGGAGGCTAATCAGAGTGCATTTGAATGTGCTGTCATGTGCCACAGGGAAGGAAGAGGTGGGAAAGGGGCTTGAATGTTTATGGAAGAAAAATTTGCTTATTAGTCAAGTCTGTGAAGAGCTGGGTTTCTTTCTTGTAGCACTTCTTACAATCTTTAATATGCCAAATTAAATTTTGAGTTCCAACATGGAGATCATGCTATGCACTAACTTATTTGATTCTAGAACTGAAGCGTCTTTAATATCTCCTGGGATGGTAGTGTTGATCAGGACATTTTGTGTCACTTCCTGTAGCACAGAGACTCTGTTGCAATCATATTTTAGAATGTGACACTTAGGGGTTCGATGAATGCTTATTGAGTTAAAATAAATAATGAAATAAGGATACTTTCTAAGGCATTTATCACAGCTTAACAAATACATATGCCTTTATTTTGTATTAGAAAAAGCCTGGACATTCCCTGCCAGCGATTTATAAAATAACTTTGGGGAAACAATCTTCATGTAATTTGAGAACTGCCTGGTACTTTGTTGCTTTATTGTCATGATTCTTTACCTCAGAGCCAGAATAATAAAGTGTTACTTGAAAATGATCTGGCCTTTTAGGAAAATAAGATGATTTCTGAAATTGAGAACGTTACTTTTATAAAGGGTTTTTATATCTCTGTTTGAACCCAGCAGCAGCACTACTGATACTGGTAAGTTGAAATGTGGGGCTACTCAAGACATTTTTAGTCATAATTTTAAAAGTGTATGTTTCCTGCCACTTATATTGAACTTAGGAGACCACATTTAAAAAAATTTTATGTGTAATTCAAATCTAGGTTGTAAAGCATCTGTTATTAAGGAAATTAATAACATCAGCCACGCATCTAATGATAATAAGATCCCAGGACTATACATAACAGCTGATCAATCAGTTACCCCATTGCCATAACGTAAAGTGTTATTATTATAAAAGAGATGTTTAAGAAACTTGAAGTGTTATAAATAAGAGCTTTTATGAAACTTACTTTTTGGAATATTCTTAAACTATAAAATGGATCTACTGCCATATTCACAGTTATACTATATATTATTTTTCACAGTAACAATGGAAGTTTCTTTTTGTATCTCCTTTGGGAGTAATAGGTTGGGGTTTTTTGTTTCTTACTGGAAGCATCTGGTTATGAAACCTAAAGTTGTAGTTGAAGGTCAGTCACTTAAATAAGCAGCTTTCAGAAATAAATAGGCACCTTTCAGAATTCATGTAGTTGTTTTCTACATTATTGTATAAAAAGGCCAAGCTTTGAATGGAATTATCATTATTGGTACCAAAATATTTCCTCTCCTTCATCTTTTCCTTCATGAAAATCAGAAATGTTATTGTTTCATTTTTTAAAATCATATGCATAACATCTACATGTTCACATATAACTTCCAAAACCATTCATGTGCTTCTAGTACAGTATGAAAATCACTTGATTCATTCTTTTGTCATTTTCTTTAGTTGACTTACATTTCATTTTGAAATCAGTCTCTCGATTTCCTTTTCCTATTCTGAAATCATTTTAATGTAAGTTTAATTTATGGTATGTTTGTGTTTTTATTTTTTGTTGAATTTTTTCCTTTCCTCCATTTTGTTTTTCGGTTTTATTTTTAACATTCCATGTGCACCCGCCATTTTTCCCCCAACAGTGACCTACCTCAGGATCTTTGTCCTCTGTACAGGCCTGGAGAATGGGAAGACCTGGCTTCAGAAAAGGATATCAACCCCTTCAGTAAGTTCAAGTCCGTCAATAGGGAAAAAAGACAGCAAAACGGAGAAAGAACGATGACTTCAGATTTCAAATCAACAGGACCTCTGGAGAAGTCAACAGAACTCACACATACAAAGCCCTCAGGTAGCTCGGTGTCAGGGAAATTAAAGAAACTGGAACCCACTAAGGCGACAACCCTGAGTCAATCTCCTGTAGTTACTAAGCTCAGCAAGGAACCTTCTGACATGCGCACTGCATTTGAATCTACAGCCAAAGAAAATTCCCTTTTAGGGGAAGATGATGACTTTGTTGACTTGGAAGAACTTTCATCTCAAACCGAGAGTGGAATGGACAAAAGAGACCCATCGAAGGAATGCCTTTCGGTTGACCCCGAGAAACGAAAGAAGGCTAAGTCACAAATAATCACTTCTGCTATGGACATGCAGGGACAGTCAGCCCTGAACTTTTCAAAAGTAGAGAGTGATGCTGAGCTAAAGGGAGCCCTAGACTTAGAAGCCTGTGAGAAACAAGATGTAATGCCAGAAATGGACAAGCAGTCGGGTTCCCCAGAAAGCCAGGTGGAACACACACTGAACATTCATGAAGATCTAGATAAAGTTAAACTCATTGAGTACTACCTAAATAAGAATAAAGAAGGGTCGCAGTTATCTGAAAATTTGCAGAAGAAGGAATTAAGTGACCACAAAAGTACTGAGCCAGTGGGAATAGACATCACCCTTAGTAGTTCTCTTCCCCAGACTGGTGACCCCACAACTGAGAGCAATAAAGAGCCAGATAAAACATGGGTAAAGGAGAGAGAGCCCCTTCCACTGAAACTAGACACCAATACTGAAGAAAATATGGTAAAAGAATCCTTGGACTCTACTCTGGACAATATCTGTCAAGGTGCACAAATGGATAATAAATCTGAAATTCAATTATGGCTTTTAAAGAGAATTCAGGTACCTATTGAAGGTAAGCTGTTTTTCCTAATATTTTTATGTTCTGTTGCATAATTTGCCTTTCTAAAACTTGCCCCTGTAATAGCAAATGTATACAATTATTTGAGAGTAGTGTTTTCTCAATCGAGTACTTCCTTACTATTAGCATCAATGATTAGGGAAAAAAATCACAAAATATGGTATGTTTTGGAACTTGAACTATAAGAGATTTCTATTTCAAAAGCAGTTTATTTTGTAAAATATCTTTCAAGTTGTTTTCCTTTTTATGTTAGATTTGTGAATCTAAAAGGGTTTAAAATGATTTTGAAGAGATTTCAATTCTAAACTGAATTGCACTGTGGCAAAATCGGGTCCTGATATCATTTATTAATACATACCCTTGTGGATTGTCACAATTCTACATTATCTGCTGTTAAGTTGGTTTTTATGCTTATTTCCGGTATGTAGCACATGTTTGTTATATACCAATTTGAAACATGTAAAGTTTTTTCCTCTGTGCTTAAGGAGGTCTGGAAAATTTATTAGATCTAATATGAAGTAGCCAAATGGTGTTCATGCCATATGCTATGACTTTCCATCACTAAGAGGGATTGTATGCTATTCTTTGTATGTTGAAGTTTACTGTCACCAATTTTGTCAGTATTGAGGGAGGTTTTATTCATCTGTGATTCAGATATTCTTCCTTCAAAAGAAGAAAAGAGCAAGACCCCACCCATGTTTTTGTGTATCAAAGTGGGAAAACCAATGAGAAAATCCTTTGCCACTCACACTGCCGCCATGGTCCAGCAGTACGGCAAACGAAGAAAGCAGCCAGAGTACTGGTTTGCTGTTCCGCGGGAAAGGTAAGTATGAGTGAGATGAGAAAATTTGCTGGTTAGATTCTAATTGCATTTGGATATTCCTTATCTTACTTTTTATTCTTCAATAAGAACCTTGTCTTAAGGATTGTGGAGTTTCTAGAAGGATATTGGATGGCTTTCTGCTAAAGGGTGGTTTGACATAGCTAACATGATGTCATCATAGGTGCTGTGCACATTAACTTCCCATGCAGTTGATTTTTAAATGAAGGAAGATATAGATCGTCTCCAGTGCCAGGGTTTGGAAGTGCTCTTCTGTGAAAATAAAAGAACACCATGGAGCAGATCCAAACCTGTCTAAGTGCAGTAAAGAGGCAGGATTTATTATAATTTTTCAAGTGCTTTAATGGTAGGGAAGTAAATAAATATTCTTTGGCCTTATGGAGGGTGCATCTGTGACTCAGCACTAGAAACTCAGTACATGAAACGTGGCACACACGTAGATCAAGGGGCTGTACCTTCAGAGGGATTGGTATTTTTATTTTTTAACATTTATTTTTAAATTGGTACACAATAATTGTTTGTTGTGGGTATTGTTTAAGGGATAGAGCTGGTATTTCACATTTATCATTTCTTGGGATTGGGAACATTCAAATTCCTCTCTTCTAGCAGCATATGTCTGTGAACTGTCATCACTCTACTCTGCTATAGGACACTAGAACTTATTGCTCCTACCTAACTATAATTTTGTTCCCATTTGCAAACCTTTCTCTATCCCCCGCCTCACACCCTGACCAGCCTCCAGCAACCACAGTTCTACTCTTCTAGAACATCTACCATTTTAGCTTCCACATATATGAGAACATTTGATACTTATCTTTTTGTGCCTGACTTATCACTTAACATAATGCCCTCCAGGCTCATTTGCACAGCTGCAAATGACAAGATTTAATTCTCTTTATAGCTAACTAATATTGCATGGTGTGTGTGTGTGTGTGTGTGTGTGTGTGTGTGTGTGTAACACAATTTCTTTACACTGATTCATTGATGGGCATTCAGGTTGACTCTGCATCTTGGTCACTGTGAATAGTGCTCCAGTGAACATGGAGTGCTGAGAGATTTGTATTTTTAAATTACCAAAGATACTTTCTTGATTTTGTGACAGTCTAAGATAGCAGAAATGGTGTCCTAGAAATTCTTCAACAGTATATCACTGAGGATATGCTTATGATTTAAAAAAAAAAAGAGAAAGAAAGAAACTCTTTTCTTCAGAAAAACATGTTTTCCTTTTGTTATGTGTTAGAGTAAAACTGTCTTTACAAAGGACTTGCAGTCACTTTTGACTATGAGTCCCACATATCTTTGCTTTTCTTGACTAGTCATCAGACATCTTCATCTGGGCAGATCTTTCAACTAACACATCTGCCAAGAAAAAAAAAATCACTCAGCCAGCTCCCTTAGCATGAATTTCCATAAAGCAAAATTAATTCCAAGTGAGGGCACATCTTCTGGATGACTATTACGCAGGATGATAATTCTTATAAGGGGAGTTGGCTCATTTTGAATAAATTAATAGTTCAGTGCAAAAAATGGATTTTTATTAATGAATTTTCAAATAGGTTTTTTCTTATAAATAAATCCACATTAATATGGACATTAAGCATAATTTATTTTGCATTAATGTAATATAGTCTTCTACTTGTGTCTGCAGCCTCCACTGTATCTTGTTGAGCTTTTAAACTAGTAATACTACTGAAAACTGTTTCAACACAAACAATGTGAATTTCTCAAGCCCTCTTAACATTAGAGTACTAAATTTAGAATTTCAAAATTAAACAGTATCTTTGAGATTTAGGCCAATTTTTGATTTTATAGGTGAGAAAAACATCACCAAAACTTTCAGCTACGTTGTGGTTTGTGGGGACTTTCATTCTTTATCAGAAAAAAATCATCTCTATATAATTTTTTTCTCTGGGAAAATGCATTGTTCATAGTATTCGAAAATTTTTTCCATTGTATTTTCTTTAACAGGACTGTGTGTACCAAGAACTCTTATAGAATAATTATAGCAATCCTACACATGTGATTGTTGGGCTGTCACTTTTTAACCCAGAAGAAATTCTAAGTACTAAAAAGTGCTTCTCTTTGACCTCTTATACAAGTGACTTCTGTGAATTTTTTAAAGTAGGTCACTACCTGCATTCTGTTATACTGTAATTTATAGTGTCTGTGACTTACATTTCTTTTGAATTTGATTTTATACTTAAAAGAATAGTTTTCTTTCTTGAGTGAATTATTAATAAAACTTTTTTTGGAATCCTTATGCTGCCTCCATTATATTTTTTAATGATAATAGGTTTTTTGTGGGGTTTTGGGGAGTTTTTTTGGTTTCCATGTAGATTTTAGGAAATTTTGTTGTAATTGTTTCCTTTTGTATTTCCTTATCTTTTTGCTTTAAAGGAACCCACATTTTAGGTTAAAAGGGTACAGATGGAGCAGTCCTATAGTAAATTCCCACTTACACTTCCAAATGCACAGTAGGAAATAAATTCGTTTTTTTATTCCAATTTCTGAAATTCTTCAGAATTTAAATCTCAACAGAAGTCCTTAAGGAGGAGCTAGAAAGAGGCATGCAATATTTTTCTCAAACAGATGGTAATTTCTGGATTTCTTTTCTACATCAAACTGAATATTTCATCTTGCTTTCTATTTAATACACGGGTGCATCTGTTGGAATTTCAGCAGCAGAGTGAATTCACCCTAACAGTAGCTCCCTTCCTAGGTTACAGCGTCTTCTCACAGACCTTATAGATGTGGCAACTTGTTCTCAAGAGGCTGGTCTTCTTAGCTCATACAATACACAAAAGCTTCCTGTCACAGGAAAATAATATTTTGATGTTGACAAAACTCAAAAAATCTTTGTTTTACTCTTCTTTTCTGTTGTTCCTGATACCTTTCTAAAAATGTTTGCTTTCTTATTCTTTGTTATTTTTTACTAAAAAATTAACTCTACCTAATTTCTCCTTTCTTTACAATGTACAGAATCAGGATACTTCTCTTGAATCAGCTGAGGATAATAGTGGTGTGCTTGGGATGTTTATAAAATTTCCAGAATTTGACATATATACCTGGATGATCCTGGATTTTTCTGTTTTCTCTCTCATTTAGCCCTGAGGGCAGTAGATAATTCCTTCCTATTTTAGTAGTCTAGTTCAGATTCAGAAGCCCTTTTACAAAATGTTCAAAATTAGAAGTATTTCAGATTTTAGTTTTTTTCAATTTTGGAATATTTGCATAGGCTTTACCAGATGAGAATTCCTATTCCAAAAATCTGAAATCTGCACATTTGAAATCTGGAACTTTCAAGTGCCAACATGAATGACATTCAAAAAATTTCACATTTCTAATTTTTGGATTAGAGATGCTTAGCCTATATGCTTGTATAGGATTTTTAGTTGTTGTAGTGTTAGTGGGGTTGGGGGTAGCTTATGAATTATAGGATAATTAGCAATATCCATTGCCTTTACCCACTAGTTACCAGTAGCTTCTGGCAGTTGTGACAAGCAAAAATGTCTCCAGACTTTGCCAAATATCCTCTGGATGACAAAATTGCTTTACACTGAATAGCTCCATAATATAGGAATTTGATTTTGTACTTAAAACTTTATTATACTTGATTATACTCATAGAATTTGCTCATCCACATATACTGTTTCATTTATTAATTCCTAATATTTTAAAACACTTTTTGCAAGGAATTTATCTATAAAAATGAAACATTCCTATGGGAGCATTGGTGTTATTTGGAAGTAATCCTCAATGGATAGAATACTGTAAGCAGTAAGGTTGTATTAACAAGAATTTATTTTTGCACTTTCACTTTGTGTAAGCCTCTGCTAGAAACTATCTAAGATATAAGAAGACAATATCCTCTGGTCTGAAAAAGTTATGGAGTCATGGGCTGCCCCATTACCTAATGGTCCCCAGAATCAGGCAGACATGAATGGGAATCACTAGGAAATGAATGAAATGCTTTATCCCTGCAAAACATAATTTCTTACTTTGAAAAATTGGTCATTTTGAGGACTAAGCAATTAGGTCGTATTTGAACAAATAATTGTTGAGTGCAGACTTCCTGACAAGCACTGGGCTAGTTCTAGATAAATAAGCCTGAGACCTTACCTGAATACCTTATGAAAAGCTATTGAAAATTGTTCCAGGAGATTCAAGATGTCAGATTAGGGGGCACTTGCAGGAGTACTTTTTTTCTCAGCAAAGTGAGTGAAAGAGGGAATTCACTGAAATTCAGTATCAGACAGTCTCTTTAGAGACTCAGAAATGCAGGTGCATTGAGCAAAGAACAAGAAGCCAAGTCAACAGCATACCCCATGGGTTCACCACAAAGGGGAATGATAATACAAACAGAGAGAAACACAACAGACAAATGTGGCACAGAAGAACCCTTTAGATCAGAAAAGCAGCCTGAACTTAGTAGATTCAAAAACTGTTGTTTGAAAAGTGCTATTTCTCTACTGGCAAACAGAGAAGTGAGGTGGGAGCTGCTGCAGGAGCCAAGAGATTGTAGCAAATATTGCCATACTTTCTCAGAAAGTGCCTGCCCTGTGGCCTAGGGTGTACCTAGCAGACCTCAGGTGGAGCTGAAGAGGGTCAGGAAACTAACAGGTGAGTATGAATACACTCAGGGACAAAGCCTGGGAAGGCAGTGTTCAGCAGAGTATGTAAGACTTGTGAAAGGTTGGTTCTTCTGCTCTGTAAGAAGAACTCTTGGGAAGTTCCTGAGATCTAGACTCCTAGCAGAGATCAGCATCTGCCTGGTCCTATGGGTATATTGATCTAATCTCTCCAGAGCAGGCACTAGCCAACAAAGTCACTAATGCTTGATTCTACTCAAGCCCCAGCCACCAGAACTCCCCTCATAGAATTCTGCAGCAGCCCCATCCTGGGAGTTCATCCATCTTTATAACACACACACACACACATACATATAAATTGGTTGGTGGCTCTTTCTCTCTCTGTGCATTTTT